CGCACGTACACTAACACACACACACACACACACACACACACACACACACATACACACACACACACACACACACACACACACACACACACACACACACACACACACACGCACGCACGTGCGTCAGGCCTATATGTCTGCTAAATACACTCGGAAAACTCTTCGAGAGGATCATCCTAAACAGGCTGACGAAATACACGGAGAGTGAGCACGGATTGTCGTAGAGGCAGTTCGGATTCCGGAAAGGGAGATCGACGGTGGATGCAATTCGGACAGTGGTCGAGAGAGCTGAAAAGGCGTCTAAACAGAAGCGGAGAGGAGAGTGATATTGCGCCGTGATAACGATCGACGTCAAGAATGCGTTCAACAGCGCCAGCTGGGAGGCCATCGCCGAAGCACTGCATAGAATGAGGGTCCCTGACTACCTGTGTAGGATCCTGAGGAGTTATTTCCAGAACCGGGTTCTGGTATACGAGAAAGACATGGGACAGAGATCGATTAGGATTACAGCGGGAGTTCCACAAGGCTCCATCCTTGGTCCACCGCTCTGGAACGGGATGTACAACGGCGTGCTAACGCTGAAACTGCCCAAAGGAGTTGAGATCGTTGGCTTTGCGGACGACGTCGTCTTGACGGTAACAGGCGAGACGCTGGAAGAGGTGGAAGTGTTGTGTCAACCGAGGCAATCGACATGATTGGTAACTGGATGCAAGGAGCGAAGCTGCAGATAGCCCACCACAAAACGGAAGTGTTATTGGTCAGTAACTGTAAAGCGGTACAGCGGGCAGAAATCACCGTCGGGGAGCACACCATAGCCTCGAAGCGTGTGTTAAAATACCTGGGAGTGATGATCGATGACCGGCTAAACTTCAACAGCCACGTCGAATATGCATGTGAGTAAGCTTCGAAGGCCATCAACGCGATAGCTAGAATCATGCCGAACAACGCTGGTCCCAGCAATAGCAAGAGGCGTCTTCTGGCCAGCGTGTCATCATCAATACTGAGATATGGAGGTCCAGCCTGGGTTCCAGCGCTGGAAACGAAGCAGAACCAAAGGAAACTGAGCAGTACGTTCCGGCTCATGGCCATGCGAGTTGTGAGTGCGTACAGAACCATCTCGTCGGAAGCAGTATGCGTTATCGCCGGTATGATCCCTATCGGCATCACCCTGGCGGAGGACAGCGAGTGCTACAGGTGGAGAGAAGCCGGAAGAGTACGGAAAGTTGTGAGAGTGGAGTCATTGGCTAAGTGGCAACAGGAGTGAAACACGACGGATAACGGTAGATGGACACATAGACTAATACCGATTCTTTCGACCTGGGTGAACAGAAAACACGGAGAAGTCAATTTCCACCTAACGCAGTTCCTGTTCCGGCTGCTTCAGGAAATACCTGCATCGGTTCGGACACGCAGCGTCACCCCTCTGTCTGGAGTGTGGCAACGTCGATGAAACGCCGGAGCATGTGGTCTTCGACTGTCCAAGGTTCGAGGCAGTGCGAACGGAGATGCCCGTCCTTAACGTGGAGAATGTAGTCACGCAGATTATGTCGGAGCTGCAGCGTAAATGGAGAGAAGAGCAGCGATCTAGCAACGCCAGCTAGCGCTGAGAGTACGACAAGTGCATGAGCACAGCCACCCCCCCGAAGTAGTCGCTTCACAGTGGCCCCGGGGGATCCAGGCAGAGGAGAGAGTAAGGCATGGGTTTTAGTGGAGCTGCACTAGGCAACTAGTGGATACAACACCGTGCCAACTTCACTACAGGTCAGGCTTCTTAAACTTTCCTAAACCTTACTATGTAAATAAAAACACACATACGTGCGCACACACGCACACACACACGCCCACACACACAAACACACTCACACAAACACACGCACACACACATACATATATATATATATTGTTAATGACAAATTGTATATGACACTCGACCTTGCGCGCCTCGGGTTGGAAAAACGTTTTTCAAGCGGTTTCAAGTAAGGTGATGAGAGGGCGTCCATTGATTTTCCCTCAATATAGCGTGACGTATTCTGTGGATCGCCACTTAAACTAAAAACATAAAAAACGGACGCAGCATCCTAAACTCACTATAATATGAAATTTCCATCAAATTCAGGCAACTTTTGGTTTTTTGTCCGAGATTTGTATGGACGGTGTCCACTGTACGCTGCAGCGAACAAGTTCAAGGTCGACCCGTCCAACGTGCAACGCTGAAAGATTATGCGGCTTCGGCATGTGTTGTTAGGGACCAACTTTTTGATGGCTGTGTTAGGGGTGAGCACGAAGAAAATGTATGAGAAATTTGAATGCTTCCATATTTCTTAATTTTCAGCTATTTAAATATCTAACATTTATAATGTGTGTGACAGTAGTATTTCACCACACAAATTTTATAAACTTGCCGAATCAATCGACACACAAATCATCTAAATCCATTGATTATTGGCCAAGTTATTAGCATTTAAAGTTTGACCAATTTTCGTTGCACTTCCCTGGATTGGCACCCTTCCCGAAAGACGTAGTCCTACGTCAATGCCCGATGGTAAATTTTGTATTTGTTTATCGTGCTCACTTGTTAAGGGAACAATATTTGCACGTAAATATGCTGGTAGTGAAATTTTAGCTCACTTATTGGGCGCAGATAAGGTAGATATACCCTATGTTTACAATTAAATTCAGATGGACAGGGTCAGAAAACATTACCTATCACGATTTTATCAGTAACATTGTAATAATAATCGCACTTTTCAACCTTTTTTACAGCGGAGAAAACAACGGTTCCAAACGGAGGAACTGTCTCATTGGAAGGAACAAAAGAATCAAGCGAAACACATAAACAGGATGAAGCGTCGCATATCATGGATTTTACAGCGAGCATTGATAAAGTGAAAGATGTAAGTATTTATCTGTTTGTGTTCGTAACTCAAATTCTTCGTTTATTGAATATAAAAATAAGTATCAATGTTTGCAAACGTAATATAAAACATTCATAACTGTAAAACGCTACGTTCTTAACACATTGCTTCTTATATTTTACAGTGTGGATGGTATTGGGGGCCTATATCCTCAGAAGGTGCGGAAAAAATTCTATCCAATGAGCCGGATGGAAGCTTTTTAGTTCGAGATAGTTCTGATGACCACTACATTTTTTCGTTAACATTCAAATTAAATGGTTCGGTCCGGCATGTGAGAATAGATCAAGATCAAGGTAATCACTTTATCTTTACGAAGTATAAATAATTCCGTAAAAAATAACTCTTCAGCTGATGACATCCACACTTAGTCTAGATTACCGAAGTCAGTAAAATTTTACTGGGTTTTTGAATTGTGGATCACCCAGTAATCGCTACAGCATTAATTTTTGTTATCGAACTATCAGTTAACTCGAACTGTCAAAATTACTGTACGTTTGGTAATTCATTCGAGTTGCATTCGGCTATATTAACTGAAATAAATGCGAACTTTGTTTTTTTGGCATTTAACTGACAATACAGTTATTTTTTTCTTAGTAAATACCGTGTAAGCCAGTTAAAAAAGTTTTGTTAGTGTTGGGAGAGAAATACTCATTTCAATTAAATAATTATTAATTGCACATAAGAAAACACGTTTGGTGAATTATATTTTTCAGCAGTTAAGGATTTGCACTGATGGATAGTGATATTCTTTCAGGAAATAAACACCATCCGTGTTGTCTTCGCATAATTTCCCACACACTGGGGCTGGGGCTTCAATGTTTACTGTTGGGATCGTAACATTGAAAAAGAATTATTAGAAATTATAGCAAGTTATTCAATATCAACGTCGAGCTTACTTCAATCCGTGATATAACATACTTTTCTCAAATGTTTACTGAAAAAAATTTACGAAAAAAAAACAGGGCTTTGGAGTTGGGTTGGAGCCGGCGGCATTTTTGGTAGGTTCCGGGCTCGGAGTTACTGTCAATGGTGTTTTATCGGTGTAATAGAAAGAATAGCTTTGATTTGGATATCAGATACCTCGAAAATGCCTCCGACTCCGACTCGACTCCACTGCCTTGGAAAAAATACTTTCTTCTAAAGCCTAAATATCGATTGCAAAAAATGACAACCTAAAATTTTATAATTCATGATCAGTAAAATACGTTGACAGTGCTGCAAAATTTCGACAATACACGGTGATACTCAAAATTCTGCTTTGGTCACTCGTTTGAGCTAACAGTCATCGTCAAGGCAAGCCATGTCAATTGTCAGTAGCATTTTTGTCAGTGACGAACATGTGCTGATTTGTTTATTAGCTAAATTTGAAATGAAATTAAATGGCTTGAGCAAAACAATTACATGAAGCCATTAAAGTGAATAAGCATCTACGTCCTGAACCGCTTGGATAACAGTAATGTGTCTCAGAATGCAAGAAATTACACTTTCTGTTACCAGGTGAATCTTTGTCATTGACGGAAAAATGAATGAGTTTTTGACAAAGATTTTTTTGAGGATCAAGTCTATCCATTGACTATGTGAAAAACAATTTTGTCAATATCGCGCAAAAGTCTGTCAATGACAATGACAAATCTCAGCACTGACGTTGAGTATTTCGACAAAATTTAATGTCCAGGGAAAATCTATGATTACTTTGTGTACAGTAATTATAATTACTGACTTTTCGTACAATACAGAAAATTTAGAACTTTCTGGCTTTCTCAGTAATTATAAATTATGTGCTCAGTATTTTACAATAAACGTTACGTTCTGAATGTCAGTAATTCCGCTAGATTAAAAGATTTGTTTTACGGTTCAAGCCCAGTTGAAGAAAATACCAAACAACTAAATGCTGGATTAGTATGTCACTTTCATATATTTTCTCGTAAACTGTGGTTTAAAAAGTCCAAATTAAGAATTTCCTTTTAGGCCCCAATTAGCCCTTTCCCGCGCAGAAGTGTTTTCATTGTTTTGATATGCAAAAAATGTGTTTCTGAAAAAAAGTGCTAAAACAAAACATGTCTCATTAAGCCTAACATTATCGAATTCGTTAAAAAAATGTTTTTACCCTTCTTACAAAGAAGGGTATAGATATCACTTGAAAAACCGACTATCGATCCGAGGCCCGGAGGGCCGAGTGTCATATACCATTCGACTCAGCTCGACGAGATCGGAACATGTCTGTGTGTGTGTGTGTGTGTGTGTGTATGTGTGTATGTGTGTATGTGTGTATGTGTGTGTGTATGTAACGAAATGAATGCGCTCACGTTTCTCAGCAACCGCTCAACCGATTTGGACAAACTCGGCGCCAAATGATAGGTCTTGAGGTCCCATTGAACGCTATTGAACGGTTTTGGAATCGGTGAACCGGTTCCGGAGATATGGTCGGAATAAGATCAGGTGAATATGGGCCTTCACGCTGGATTTAACGGAAAACGTATCAAAACCATCATGCGACACATCAAATTACTACAGAATTCAAAAATAAGATCAATGCAAGTCGTGTTAAGTGTTCCAGACCACATTGGACACACTTGGACATGTTCCGGGTACCCCGGGGAAGTTGCTTGAATATGAATTGAATTAAAACCCATTAAATCACATTAAAATACGATGATAAGGTGATTGGTAGCCTCACCAAATAGACTACATCCGGATATATTCCGGGTACCCCCAGGCAGTGGCGTAGCGTCACTGGATGACACGGGGGTGGGGGGCTTGGTCACTGATAATGACAATAAAATAAATAAACTTGAATAAGTAAGAAGGGTCTGATCACACCATAGGTGGATAAATTCGGGTTTTTTTTTAATAAAATCAATAGTATTTTAATTAAAGCGAGAGAGAAGGATTAGTAATTCCCATATGATTCCATTACCTTATTAGCCTATCCTTGACAGACACGCGTATTTCGTCTACAGTGTGCAGACTTCTTAAGTGTCTTGTACTAAAGTATTTTCATTGTTTTTCAATAGTTAAACATTTGAAACAACAAATGTCGATAGGGGACGGGCCCGACATAGTGGTTAGCATCTATGCCTCTCACGCTAAATGTCACGAGTTCAAATCTCACCCTAAAAAAGAGTTGTGTCCTAGACACGACCGCAGTATGACGTATGATGTTTGTCATGAATTTTTGACTATTATACTTACCATATGCGTGATAATGTTTGCACCATTGAGCAATGTCAAAATTAAAAAAAATCTCAAAAGATTCCTTTTCGAGATTTTTTATTTATTCAAAGAAGGGATGTTTCTCAGAACCTTAAACTATGTTAATCATTGATCGAGTTTCCACTTGCTGCAATTATGGCATCCACATGCTTCCGGAATGCACGGCAGGTTCTAATAATGTAGTCTGGATCTATTTCTCTCCAGGTACGGGTCAATGTTTGTCTGAGGCTTGCCTTGGCCTTCATGATGCGCCATATTGAGTAATCTAGCGGATTAATATTGGGGCTGGATGGCGGCCACATATCCTTCGCCTAGAACGGAAGATGTTCCTGCAACCACTTCTGAGTGCGGTTCGAGGTGTGGCACGGAGCCCCATCTTGTTGAAATACAACATTTGGCTTCGGACCGTACTGTTCTTTGATCCACGGAAGAACATACTTACTTAAAAGTCCGATGTAGACCTCCGTGTTGACCTTGTCGCCTTCTGGAATGAACACCGGGTCCATTTTTTGCCATCGGAAGCCACCAATCCAAACACCATAACGCTAGCAGGATGCTTGGTCAGATACACGTTCTTGTGCTCGTCGGCCACGTCTTTTACTGAAAGAGAATTAATATACCGGTCGGTTCTGGAATTTGATACGGGATCGACGGTAAATATGCCCTCGTCGGTGAACAGGATTACCGGATTTTTTCGCTTAAGGAAGTTCAAGATTTTCTTGCATCGTTCGACTCGTAGCTCCCGGATGCGATTGGTAATCATGTGAGTTTTTTTTTCCGTACCCTCGAGGTCGCCCCGCAATCTTCCTTTAGGATCTTCCGTGCCGTAAAGTCACTGATCCCGTGTTCCTTTGCCATTTTCTTTATTGAACGCACTGGATTCAAACGAATCTTCCTTTTGATAGCAGCAATAACCCTCGGAACCCGAGCTGACCTCGGACGACCTCCCAAGTAGCATTTCTTATTTTATTGCACTCTATTAGTGGTTATTGAGATCAATTTTATAAAACCGTCAATAAAATTAATAACTCCAGCACAACCTTTTGATAACCGCTATAAGATCGTCTTACAGCTTAGTGGACCACTCTTGATAAGGTTTATGAAGTATGTTTGAGAATCATAATAAAGCTGTCTTAAAACCTTTTGTCATAAAGCCTCATACTCTACAAAAGTTTCTCATAGCCTCTTTAAGAGCAATATTGTATCCAAGCAGCTTCATTACGCTTTGGTGAAAATCAGTTATAAATCCAATTTAATTTTTATTGCATCAAAGCAACCGCCATAAATTAGCTTGTTGTTGTTCTGTTCTGCTGAAACTTTTTTTTCCAAATGGAAATCTTTAGCGGAAAAAATAGGTTTGAGTGTTGGTGTTAAGATTACCATGAAATCAATTTTGTTTCATGGCGACATTAGTGAAAATCTTAAAGAAAATATATGACTTTTTAGAAGTTCCAAAACATATGCGCTTGAAATGTTAACGTGTATATTGGGATAATATGAGCGTTAAATAAATGCGCCTCCAAAATAATTCAAGTTAACAAAGAAGATTGTTTCAGAAATCAAATGAACTTGATGGAATCACCTTAATTTTACAGAAAATAGATCTCAATACATAAATTCATACCAATGCACACTGGAAATCATTTCGGATCATTATTTTATTGAAATTTCTTGGATTTTATTCCAAGACTAATGGCATTTTCATAATGACAATATGGTGACAGAGGACAGCAGGCAAGAAAAACACCAAGCGCAATTTCTTAAAATGTCTAATGCTTACATTGCACACTGGGTCAGGAATGCAACCTAGCTGAGCAAAATTAATAACTCCGAAACGAAGCATTTCCGCGACTTGGTGTCTTCGGCAAAATTTCTCATCATAATAAGGACCATCTATTGACATAAACAAATAGTTCAAAACTCTTCCGCAAAGATGGTACCACAATCTAACTTCTTTCTCTGACGTTTTTGAGGCTTGATGTCTTGGGCAAAGTTGTTTATCTTGACAAAATGAACAGCTCTTTCTAAAGAACTCAACTAATTGCAACACAGAAACCACCATCAAGATAGCGCTATAACA